TTTGGGTCGGAAGTACATTCTTAACTCAAATTATGGCTCACTCTTTCTGAAAACCTATAACATCATTCTTGTGCACATTGAATACAGCCCAACCTCTGTTGTGCCAATGGGACAAATTCTTCCCCAGGTGGGCCGGGCTGTGCCCTTTAGAAGTGCCACCTTTTTTGCAGAATTATATACTCAAGCATTTTCCACACACACATATTGTTCCCGTTATCGTTTGTCAATTTAGTATACTATTGTTCGATAGCCTTTGAAAATCTTCGAATGAATGGCTTAAAGATAGAGAAAAGATAAGCGTATCGCATATGTATTTTTAAAATTTCTTCGTTCAAAAAAGGGTGTGCTTTATACGGGAATATACCTAAAAATTAGAAAATGTAGTTTGAAATTATAGGTTAGCGTTATACAACAGATTATACAGTAGGTGGGAAAGTGAGTTTCTTCAAACTATTTGAATGTTAGGAAGAATGCTCTTTCATTTCAGCGCAATTTAAATAAATTTCTAGTACGAATTAGCAGAGCTGCTTGCAAATAAATACATTCACTGACTGCTTTTAAACATGAATGATATTTTTTAAGAAGTTTGTCGCTCGATACGTCAAAAATTTACGCACAGAAAAATAATACATAATCTTGTTAGAACAAGCCAAAAGGTTACTATACGTAATTTTAGAAATCGGAAAATGTTCACCGTTCCTACTGATAACTATAAACTAGCAGATAATTTCAATGGCTTAAGATGATAAAATAAAATTTTACATCGTTCGACTCAGACACACAATCAAGTTTGGTTATAGAAAAACTCCTGTTTAAATGCCAATATATCGTTGATAATATAAAATTTAATTATATATTAAGGCCATTTTGGAAAATATAAATACGAGATTTTTATCATTTTAATTCTATAAATATCTAGTGAGTTAGTCGTTTAAGGAAAAATTATAAAAAATAGTAAACTCCGACGCATATATGTAACACATATACTTTGAAGAGCAAATAACGAGCCCGTGTTGCCGTGTAAATTAATTTTAATAACTAGGAAATGGAGACTATTCAATTCCCAATTCATTACCAAAGCAGAGTTCTAATCAAAACGAAATTCTTCTGAAGATGTAGAAAACGCAATTCTAGCTGATTTCGTGTTCTGAAAAACGATAAAAATCAACTAAAAGTAGTAATTTCTATTTGGAAGCGAAACAAGATTTATTTAATATTCTGTTTTATTTCATAGAATTAAATAAAATATATTCAACGAATATGTAATACTTTGTTGCAACTATAAAATCGTAAAAATACGCATACCAATAGATGTTAAATACATCAGAATACAATGTCTAGAACCTGGGCAGAAACAGCACAGGCTGGCCTTGAAGAAACACAAATTTCCTGTAAAAAGGAGAGCCACGTGGAAATTAGTCTACTTTCAATATATCTGTACCTTTAACATTGAAAAATATTTTGCTTTCCGTGATATAAACAGGAAAACATCTTTATCTTTGGCACTCACTCGGATCAGTAGCGATTTGCGTCCGAAGGCTTGGAGAGTTATCTGAGTTCTGTATTTGAGCTTTGAATAGCGTAGGATAGGGAGTGGCTTTCGGAATTCCCTCCCATCTCGGACCCTAGAGCACTTTCATACTATAAATGCCTTTTTTCACCGAATTGCGACGTTCTGATAACGTATTTTACTTGGAAATGCAAGTATATGTAAGACTGAAAATAATGTTCGCTGATCCACATTTAAAAGACCTTAATAGATAAGAACATTCTGTATGCAGATGAAGCAATATACGGGTTTATAATAAAATGCAAAGAAGTTATCTTCGTAACTAAAGCACGAGATGTTGAATAAAGGGGCTAAAACTTTATCTTTTTTACTCACACACAAATTTTAGATAGAAAAACGTAAGACTAAAACATGATGCAAGGGTAAGCACATCGAATGGGTATTTTTCTTTTGCGTATGATAATCTACATTCCTTTCGGATTTTAAAATTCTTTATCTTTTTAAATATTCCTTCAATTCAATACTGCGTAATATAGAACTTCAGTAACTATGGAATGCTGATGAAAATTAATTAAAACCTCAGGGCGCAACGTAAGTATTACCTGTTTCGGAAGTATAAATATTAACAGTGAAATTTAGCTTATTATAAACTTACGAAACATGTATTTGTTTGAAAGCAAAATATAAATGTGGGAAGATTAATGCATGTTTCATAGTTTATATTAACATAAATTTAAGTTTGCTTGGTTTACAGAAACCGAACTAACATTATTGCTCTCAAATAATTTTTCACGTTTTTCCTTTGAACCAAACCCAGAATAAGATCATATACAGCTTAATATAGTATTTAAAATAAAATAAATAAATTGTTAAAAATTTCAAATGAAAGGAAATCATTTAAATTCGTCATGAATGTAAAAATATATGTCTACACAATCAAATGAAAAAAGTTTATATGTGCAAGTGGAATCCTCAAAATCTTAGTTCAGCGTAAAATAAAACCGTGTTAAAGTATAAGACATTTTAAAGTCTCCAGCCCTCACGAATATGGAAAAATTTGGAAAAGAAAATTAAGTTGTTTTAAAGTATTATATACAAAAGAAACGGCAATAGTTCTCAGCTGAAACAAAATCTTAAGCTCAGCTTAAATAAATTACTGGGAATTTTAATGTTAGATAGATTTGTCAATTAACTTAGCAGAGAGATTATTAACTCTTGCAGGTTACTTTCGGGTTACTATTTACTATCTTCAGTTTTCTTCTATGAAACACATATATTATACAGCAGATATACAGGTGTTTAGAACTTCAAACAGACTGTAAAATTTGAGATGCTTCTTAGGCTGTATTTACCTCAGTATACTCCAGCTGATAATACCTTAACCATCTGACTCTCTGTTAAATTCTAGAATATTGAAACTACAGGAAAGGTTAAGATTACTTTTAAAAATGAAACGATTTATTAAACAAACCCGTATCACTGTACTGGAATGAAAAAAATAGTATCTGTTAATTTGTTTTAATCTTTTATAGTTTGATGATAATCTCTAAACAGAGATTTGTTTTTGCAACACGTTTCTTCAGGCGCAAATTTTTAACTTCGTAGAAATCGAAAAAACAGGTAATTTTTTCGCATGTTAGATATAATCATGTATTCATATACGTTATAACTCATGAAATGAGCCCAGCAAAGATAGATTGGATAAGACAGCTGAATACTGATAGTTCCATCCGGCCTCAAATCTCTCTGAATAGTTTACATATGCGTTTACGTATAATGCGAATTCGAGGCATTTCTCTCAGATAATTTTCGTAAATTATCTCTGTCTTTAGCTGTTATACTGAAGGGATGCAAACTTTCACAGTCATTAGGAAAGTAATATTGGAAGCTATATAATCTTTTGAAATCCCCTGTTGTTTTCTTACTGAAAAAGGTAGTAATATCTATATAGATTATCTTTTGCAAATGTCACTGACATTAAACTGACAGTTAAAACGTATTATGTTCAGTTACTAAATTTTTCTCTAAATTAAATTAAGTTCACTTAGTTTAGTTTAGTTACTAAGAATATCCATACTTTATTACTTAACTAGCTCCTTACTTTCTTATTACTGTATATTATTTTAAAAAATCTTACACCGCTTTTCTTATAGTCTGGTCTCTTAGCTCTTTTTCCATAATTTATGCTCATATACAATCCGATATGTATCGATGAAGAAACTGAGTCATAAAATATTGATGAAAGAATAAAACGCTCTACTCTTTTGTAATGCGTATTTAGTTAAACCACGAATGTATTCCAAAATATCTGTTTCTTTCACATTACCCAACAATAACCTATTAGTTTTCTATTTACTCATACAACTTCGAGTTTTACCTTGCACTGACTACTTTAGAAAGAGTTCTGAAAACTCATCACTTTTCGAATCTGATGACCATCTGAGAGACAGCTCTCTTATGCTTTCCTGCATTCGATTACAAACAGACCAAGCGCTGTTTTTACAGTTCCGTTACTCCTTAATTTTACAAAAATGTTCTAAAATATTCAGCTTATTCGCAGCTATACAGAAAAGTAAACCCAAGAAATAATACTCACAGAAAAGCTCAAAATATGTTCTCCAATAAAAAGTTCAACAAACAAAGTTCTCCAATAAAATATTTTCTTTTTTAAACATGTGTAGCATTTTATCTATTTTTCTTCCATAGACGCTAGTCATTTCCACATTCGGCATAGATAAAAAAATTAAGGTAACAATTAAACTTTAAAATAAATAGAACGCACGTTATAATGACCCTTCGTACCCTAAAGAAAAAAGAACTTTATTAAAGACTGGTCGCTCTAACGAAAGTGGATTTAATGTACTTTCATCGGATGGTGACATTTTGTACCTTTCACTGTAATGGAACGGTCGCTATAATGAGTGGCTTTTATAATCAGATTCGGCTGTATATTCTATTTTAGGCCCGTTTTCTATTAAATAGTATTATTAAATAGTATTATTTAATAGAAAATAGTATTATTTAAGGAAATTTAATGTTGAGTTACTGTAAGAGAAGCTCAAAAATAATTTACTAGGAAACATTTTACTTTTTTTGCCTCTGTAAAGCATTGAGGATGTAATCCTCAGACTTTACGGCTCTTGATTTTATTGTCGGTATTACTATTATGTTGATCGATGTGCGTTCGTATAACTGTTGAATCTTTTGAGCTGCTGCAGTTCAGAAAGAGGCACCAGTTCGGGGCTTGAAGTAAATTAATTCACGCACTAATTACTTTTGAAGATTTATATTTAAATTTAACAAAGTGGGTTTCCTTCTACAATTTTTTAGAATTTAGATCGATGTATGTGCTTCAGTAAAGTAATAACAGATATAACACATTAAATGCATAAAAAGAATAAATAAAACCTTTAAAATATTTTTGCATTTTTTATGATTATCTTTTTTGGGAAGCATTTGTCACAGAGTCTATTTTCTTTTTCTTTCACAGAATTCTATTAGGCACAACCTTTCATTGCACAAGAAATTCCTTAAAATAAGGAATACAACTGGAAAAAGTTCCTGGTGGATCGTAAATACTGCAGCTGGTTCAGGAAGAACAACTCGAAGGAAAACATCGTACAGAAAAAGAAAAAATAAAAATATGACTCAATTAAAAAAGTTACATTTTTTTGAATCCCTTCCCAACTTTCTTAATGAACGCATTAGTAGAGCATTTCCTACAGATTCTGAAGTACCTGAACAGCATTCATTTGATACACGACTGGAGACCAGTTCTGCAGTTCTAAACGAGCCTCCAAAGAAAAGATGGTTATCAAATTCTTTATCATCTACTCATCGTAAATCCTTCAAATCAACCTTCTATCCGGAAAGTCTGTCAGCATCTGATTGTAATCTGTACTCAACAGATAATGAATTAACATGGCTACCCAATATGTATCATGAAAGTCTTACGTATGAAAATGATCGTCAGTACAATGAACTTATTTTGCAGTTAAATCAAGCTACAAATACCGAATGTTTCAATCAGAATTCTAATTCAACAAAGGAAAACGTGCAAACTGTATGGAACGATGTTTATAATTATCCTGATAAGATGGAAGCGACTGCCATGCATTTCTCATCTCAGCAAACGGATTTGAGGTTTCTGGAGACTTCAGCTGAACCTGAAGGAAATACTACTGCAACAAGCGAGTCTTATACTAGCCCGTACCATTTAAGTGGAAGCTCTGTTATAAGAAGTGAAGCAACCAAGCCCGATCAGAACATTTCAGATCCTGAAATACCTGATAAAAGTATAATTGTGCCAAAAGATAATTGTAATTCTTCTTTATTAAATGAATTCCATGATAGTTGTAAGAATAACAGAATAATTAAAGCATCTGCATTGCAGAACAAAGTATTTGACGAAACACTTATAGAAACTGATTTACCATCACCTGAGTTTTCACATTCGGTAACTGATTCAGAATCTTCGACACCCTTACCCCTTGAAGTTTATTTAGAATCATTTGAGTCTTCATTTGAACCTGAAGAAAACAACAGTTTAAGAGCTGAATCTTTTACCAACCCTTACCACCTAAGCGGAAGTTCAGTAATAAGAAGTGAAACAAATGAACTATGTATCACATTCAATACCAGTGCTCTCCCGCAAAGCACCCAGTCATCTCCATCGAATGAAGTAATACCTGATATAGAAGTCATAGAAATTTTGGACGATGATGATGTAATATCTGATAACGCAACAATAGTCACAAAACAAAGGGAGTATTCTTCATTTCCAAATGAAATTAGGGAATCTTCTACCGAAAATGAAAACTCTGCAGAACCTACAGAGATGCCTGAAGAAAAGAAGCCCAGAAATCTTTCTTCGGACATAGGAGAAGACAACACAAATTCTGAAGTGTTAGTCCAGAAAGTTAGCAAACTTAAGACTTCATTCCCTGCAGCAGATGAAAACGCTCAGAATATAATATTAGAAGGCAATAATGATACCGAAGCTACTTTCGATGGACAGTTAGAAATTTTTAATCAAAGTTTAGCAGAAGACAATAATAAAGTACAAATAGCATATGCTTCTCAGTCAAACTTTCTTAGTTCATCCAATCCATTTAATTCAACACATTATTTTATTCCATATAAAAAATATAATGAAGATAGTCATCATCTAAATGAGTCTGTAACTATAGATGCAGAAAATGATGCAACTTCAGATGTTTTACCCGCACTAAAAATGCTGTATGACAATAATATAAAGTCTAATAACAATTTCCCACTAAAAGTACCTTTTTCTTCTATCAGCCACAGCACTAGAAGCACAAATTATCATTTTTCTTCCAATAACTGTCCCCATTCAGATGAAAAAGAATGCCAAAGTAATTATCATGACGTCTACATAGTAGAAACAAGAGCAAGAGAAGATACTGTCGATTTTAATATGTATCATATCGCAAAACGCCCTGGGTTACATATTTTTAAAAGCATTACGGAAACTTCAACAAAATATAACACTACAGAAGATTCTTTAGCTGCATGCCAAGCGGTGAACCCTATGAACATGTCCACTATGATGATCTCTCAAGACATAAATAGACGAGAATTTAAAAGAAAGCACAGAGAAATAGAAGCTGGAGACACTTTACTTTCTCAGAAGTTCCAGCATAAAGATAAAGCATCTGTGAAATTGATGTCATCATTGCAGTCGTCTAAAATCATGCCACACGAGATATACAGTTGTTCGTTGCGGCCAGTAGCTACAAAGAAACAAAGAAACAATACTGCTAGAGTAGCCTCGAATTTGCCATCAAGCATAAATTCCTCCACGGATACTGCAACTAAAAACAATTCTTTAACCCTCTCAGACAGTTCGGACAAAATCTATTCTTCCATGATTGGCGATTTTCCTTACTCTGCACGAGGTGAAACAAATGATATCTATTCCTGTTGTTCCTTAAGCACCGCATCTGAATTACCTGCATCCCATTGCATTAAATTATCAACAGAAACCAAAAATGATAAGTTTTTTCTAACAAAAGGTATCACAGATTGTTCGCCATCAGATTACAACAGTGAAAACACAACAGAAGAAAACTGGAAATATTATGATTTTGAAAACAATGATCTGCTTAATGATTGTGAAGTCAATCAGCTTCATTACGATGTTGATGCTTTGAAAGGTATGTGGAAAAGAGATGGAAACTGCGAAATTCAAGATTATTGGGAGTTAAAAGAAGAAGAGTTTCAAAAGCTTAACTCCTTCAATAAGAACATTTCAGATATTTTATGTACGTTAGACATAAAATCAGCTATAGAAGTAAACACAGGTACGAGTATATTTGGTCAAAGTGAAGATATTTCTTCAGAAGTTTCTAATTTAAGAAATGTAGAAACTCTCTTTCCAGATTATTCCTATAAGTCATTCAGTTCTGACTCTTCATTTGAACCATGCTTATGGGATGATTTCTCCTTTGAATATGATCCAAACTTTGATAAATACTTACAAGAATAACTTAAGTGTTTAAACAAAATTAGGTGAATTCATTTTTGATGCCATAAACCTATTGTCTATACAAGTTTAATTTGTCATGTTTTCTTTAAATTACGTTCGTAACAAAACGAAGCTTTAAATTTCATCCTCAATTACAGAACTGAAACGACAATAAAATTTTTGCAGCCGCAACGACAATAAAGCTTTCGCTGCCGTTATTATGAACTGCAGAGCATACTTCTGAAAAAACTTAAATGTAAAACTTTCATTCTGCCTCTAGCTTGTAGCTTTCATGATGAAAGTATTTTATTATAGCTTTTGTTGTTCCTAGGGTTAGTCACGTATTGCGTATGAAAGAAGATAAGACCAAAGAATATTTGTTATATGTATGTAAAGATATAAATAATTTTTATATTTATTTGTTATAGGCAGAATATCCAAAACAAAATGTGATTATCCAAAACATTTATATTTGACTTTGATATATGAAAAGTCTTAACTCTCTCTCCATATATATCTGTAATCATAGTAAATTTCCTGTGCAATCTTGATATTTTCATTATATTGAAAATAACTTTTTAATGCATAACTTATTATATAGAAAAAGGCTTAATGAAAGTAACTTAACGATGAGCATTGAATCATCAACTATGTTGCCTGGATAACATTTGTTCACTAACCTTCTGTTTTACATGATGAGCATGAATTTCATGTTTATCAACTAAACATATTAAAAAATGTTGTAAACTTTTCTAGTCGCTCAAAGATTACAACAGATCTTAAAGTTATCTTAGTCACATGCTCTTATAGCATGCTTAAGAAACTTAATCCCAGAAATCATAATTTGAAAAAATCGCACCAAATAATTTTTCTTCATATGCGTCAGTAGCCACTTTGGGATTGGAAATCTTGTTCTGTATAGTTGGTTTTCCACTTGAGGAAATAAAAAAATCCCACACAAAGCAAGGCATAAAACTAATAGCAATAAACACAACAATAATTATTATTTCCGAAAGTATCAAAAGATATGAACGCTTTGCATATGCATCGCGATGTATAACAAAGATATCGGAATGGATTGATATCAACTAGCCTAGACCCTTGGTAACAGAACATACCGTACTATAACTACGCAAAACTTCCACTGCAATTAGATATTTACAGATATATTTGTAACAAGAACTGTTCAAAATTATCTTACTCTATTCTTCTAGAATCTATAATAAACGCTTAAGCCTCTGTTATCACCTTCTGGCTGCATTCTCAATCACGTTTACTATTTTAACTCCATTGTGACAGCAAAAAAATATTCATATTTTTTCATGCGTTTCATATTTTTTCATATTTTTTATTACGTTTTATTTTACTCTATGTCCTTAAATTTATGAGAAAAATTATCATTTATGATATATAAAGGTACAAACATACGCACACATATATGTATTATCGTATTTTACTCGCCTATTTCTCCTCCTCGGGTACTTTTCCCGCAGTTCTTTTAGCATATGATTTAGAACTTCTGATTTATAGTAACATAAAATGTATGTACAAACAGCATTTTGGGTAAGTAAAAAGAATATTTTTGAAATTGGTAAGAGCTTTCAAATACATAATATAATAATATTAACTTGTCTTTATGTGTGTTTTTCGATGTGCTATATTTATCATTTAAGCCATCTCTTCAGAAAAGCATACATCACATATTTTTCCACTGATAGCTTTCAGGCTGTAAAATTAGTGGGAAAAGGAGCAATATGCGAGTAAATATGATATTTATTATCTTATTGATATTAAAGAGTCTGTAAAAGAGCTTCAGCAGAATGTGAAACTGAAAAGCGTTTTCTAATAATATTGTCCCAAATATAATATGTGTGATATTTTGTAACATGTTATTCATATTCTGTTGTTATGAAATATAAAGTATTTTCTAAATTGATTGTAGACTAACGGTAATACAAATTAGTCTTTAATTAATTTTTAACATCCTTATCATTTTGCTTTATTTCATTTTTATTTACTTTATTTTATAGTGTAACTCTTAAAATTATTTTTGTTTAGCAGAATAAAATTAGTTTTTATTGTTCTTTGCCTGAAAACAGAAGAGGAAAAAGCAATAAATTGTGTCCGATGGTGCGTGAAAGGCAACTTAATTTCATGAACAACGTTGTTTGTAATTAATTTCATTAATATCTAAAGTAGTAGTGGCTACCGTTTTTTCTAGTTACTGTTTCATTTGTGCATTCATTTTATGTAACTCCAATACAGTAACGCGGAATTTTTAACTAAGGTATAAAACTACATAATTGGCACTTTACCTTAAAATTAAAGAAACAGTACCAACTAAAATATAATATTACATGAAATGTATGAAATTTTTAAGATAAACTTTACTCGATATTTCAGTGGCTCACATGGTAGGCACCTTTCTCCTAAAGCCACAATAAACATGTATTTTACGCTCTCCAGTTTCTTCGTTTCATGAATATTTCTATCCTGACTAGCACAACGTAAACATTATTTTATATAATATAAGTTTATTTTCCTTGTAAATCTTTTTGTTAATTTTCATATTTTTTAATAATAATAGCAAAAACGTAATAAAAAAGCGTGAATGCGTCCTGTGATTCTCACACAGAATCATAGATGAGGCATTGTACCAAAAAAGTTTCAAGTTCTTTAACTTTGTTGTTTATTCCTTTTCTGTTATTACGTATAATGTTGCTCCTAATAGTGGCCAAATTTGAATGCACTCAACAAAGCCTAAATGTAAATGTTTTTCATTGTATTACCAGCAAAAATGCAATTAAAAAAAAGAGTAGATATTATTTTACTTACTGTGATTCTGAGATAAAACCAAAGATGAGATTTTATACCAAAAACGTTTTAAGTTCCTGAACTTTGTTCCCCACCCCCCCCCCCTTTTTTTTTTTTGTTGTTGTTGTTGTTGTTGTTGTTGTTGTTCTTGTTGTTGTTACGAGTAATTTTGTTCCTAATAGTTGCCAAATTTGACTGGGCTCAAAAAGAAAGCCAAAATGTAAATTATTCGCATATATTTCATCGATCTGTACTATCTTTCCTCTTCCGTATTTGAAAGACGGATGTTTATTGTAATAATATTTCTATAATAAAATTATTATCATTAGAAGAGTTAGTTCTAATTCTACTTAAATCTTCATCCATTCTGATTTTTCTACTAATAATCTCGATGTTCTAAGTCAGTGTTGTCTGACTTTCTACTTCATATGGACCTGAACTATGCAATTATTAGAAATTTTTAACATTTCTATGAAGATATGTTGGAAAATTTTATTTTTACAGTTAAGTGTGAGTATTCGTAAATTATATGAAACACAAAGAACACAATTTCTCCTCGTACCTTGCAAATGAAACAGTTGAATAAAACAGTTTTTGTTTCATATTTCATTTTGGGGAACATGAAATGTGTTTTTTTTTATTTTCTTATAGATAACAATTCCTCCACAAAATCTGTTTTATGCTCTATGGAAATAAAACAAATAGATCTTATGTGTTTTGTTAATACTGATGCTTAACTTGAATAATATAAAGGAAAAAAATAGATTATCTTAAAATTCTGCGAAGTAAATTTTATATAACTGAGGGATTTTAAGTACAGTTTAACCCGATTAATTAACACATAAAATATTTACAGAAATTCAGAAAAAATATCTTCATTTTTTTTCTGCTCTAAGCATGCACTCGGGAAATTAAAACTTTTAAGTCTAGCTCCACAAGTAGGAAAACTAAAGAGAATTTCCATCTATATGAAAGCAAATGTCCTTTCTACTTCCCTTCTAAGAAATAAAGAAAAGGCAATGGGCATTTTTTATTCTTTAGAAATAACATGCAACTTTTACAACTCAAATCTAAATAAATTTCAAAACTAAGGTTACCACAGGAGCTTTCTTTTTTGTGTGTGATATATTATATATGAAATTTTGTTAGTTGCTATTATATCGTAAAAATAAAATTAGAACAAGAGGATGTGTGGCGGTGTAACGCGTCATTTTTCGCTGACTGCCACGCATTACAAATCTTAGAGTACTTAATTTACTATTCTAAGGTTTATTTGCTTTCGAAGATTACCTTTTCAGGGTAGACTAAAAATGAATTTAAGAGATACTTGCAAGAAATCACCGAACAACCCTGCCATCAAACTATTAACCAGGATATTCCCTTGAAACGAAATTGCAAATGTTATTTGGAAAGATCTATACGGGTGTTAGAAAGCCCTACGGGAAAGCAGAGTTGTTGCTTCATAGCAATACGCTGTGTACATTTTATTAAAGTCTAAAGCACATTCTAGTAATTTTTATCTGCAAATGGAGATCAAGACAGCCAAGTTAAAGGATTTGAAAATGTAAGAGAATTTAATACATTAGTTAACTCATTTCAGTTGTAAAGACTAAAATGAAGAGTTACTCATAAAGAAAGAATGTTGCTAACTTTCCTTACTTACGTATACCCTGTCTAAACATGTGTGTCGAAATCACATCTGAAATGTAGAACCTTCTCCTGGAGCAACGCACAGTTCCAGCCGCTTTGTAGCTGTCGCAGACTTGGTCATCTTAGAGAGATGATGATCTATACCGATGTTTGCATATGTTCTCAGAAAAACTGATCACTTTTATAAGTAATCTAATTTGCCACAAAAAGGTCCACTGCCTTGTAATGAACATACACTGCTGGCCATTAAAATTGCAACACGATGAACGAAAGCAAATACAAAAAAGATATTTATTGTACGTAAATAGTATGGCATAAAGATAAAATAATTACATTTTTAAGCAGTTTTGGAGTTCACAGGGGTGCGAAAGTAATAGAAACAGCTGCCATTCCTGGCAGATAAAACGGCCTTTACCTGGTTAGGCATAGGGTCGAAGTGGGCTTGGATGACAGAAACGGGCAAGTTATTCAATGCTGCTTCAAGTCTATGCCACATTTCATCATCCGTATTAGCTGGACAGGGGTGGTGGGCCAGTCTCTCAGCAACCCATGACCAGATATTTTCAATGGGTGACAGATATGGAGACCGCGCAGACCAGAGCAGAGCAGCAATAGAATAAATACCCTGTGTATCGAGGAAGGTCAGAACATGACGTGCAACATGTGGTCTTGAATTATCTTTTTTAGAAGAATGCGTTTGGCAGGCCTCGAAGACAGGCCACAACTACTGGACGTAAGGTGTCAGAATGTACCAATCAGCATTCAAATTACCGTCGATCGGAACTAGAGATGTGCGTGTCGTGTACCCAATGGCTGCCCAAACCATCATACCAGGGGCAGGGCCCTATTCCGATATCGAATTCAAGCAGGCGACGTGCAGACTCCTCGGAGTCTCCAGACACGTACACGACCATCATAATAAAGCACGCAGAACCGAGGCTCGTCTAAAAAGATGACATTGTGCCATTCCTGTGTCCAGCTTTGTCGTTCGGCACACCAGAGTAGCCGTCTTTCTCTCTGCTGTATTGTCAAGGAAACCAAAGAAATGGTCGGCGTGGTGATAGTCCACGCTGCTGCACAAGTCGACACACCGTACTAGGGAATACTGAGCGTGCTGCAAACATGTCTATTTCCTAACTAATGGACCGTTATGTGATACTGGGCGTGCTGCAAACATGCCCATTTCCTAACTAATGGACCGTGATGTGGTTGTACGGTTTTGCAGGGCTGACCTTACAATATGCCTATTCTCTCCGGTGTTTGGTCATCAGAAGGGCGTTGATATCCTACAGGCCGTTCAGTATGACCCTTACCAAACCATTGGTTCTATATTCGCATGATAGTGATTGGATACCGATCACTGCGAAAGGTGATATCACGGATCGATAATCCACACTCTCGATAGACAACGATCATGCCTATATCGAATTCCTATACTTGGAGGCAAGCATTTCGTCATTTTATTCGAAGTATAACATTATATTCTGAGCAAACTCCGACCTTACAAAGCGCTTTCCGAATGATAAATCCACTACACAACTTTTCTTTTATGCAGTATTTTACTTCTCAACTTTTCTTTTATTTAGATGTCGTTTCTCACCTCCTGCATCGTCTAAGTGCGCTGAAATACTAACCATTTGCATATCCCAACCTCTTCTTACTTTCGCGTGATTTTGACGTTCGTCAGATCATTCCTTCCTGGTATTGCAATTTTAATGACCAGCTGTGCATATACTCCATATTTAAGCCATTAACAAACCTGAAAAATTATACTTTATGCAAAAAATAGCAAATTAAAAAAACTGACTCATTCAAGGCTAAATTCTCGAAAATGTTTTACGATAGTATTTAAAAAACTGATGTTAATTACCTTATCGTGTAAGTGTTGTATTCCCTTCATTCCACGTAGGATGAAAGGTTCAAACTATTCTTAATAAACTAGATTCGCAAGTTCTTATTATAAGATTACTTCACTAATTTATAAGATTTATTAGAAACCGCTGTAACAGTAAGAATATAATTAAATTATTCATGAATAAACTACTGATAATTATCACAATAATTATTTCTTTAAAAGAAACCTATGTTTCAATAAGAATGCATAGTCACATTAACATTACAAGATCTGAGGCATATTGAGCCGATATTTACGGTAATTCAGCCTGCGCCACGTGTCCCGCTCAATTACATTGTACAGCCCCAGAGGGGAAATAAGGCAGAATTTGTTGCGCAAAAAGAGGTTCATATATTTGTGGGATTAATCCACATAAAAAGTATTGTTCTTCTATTTGGTTCTCGAATATTATCTTGAATGTTTCAAAAATTATATTTTAACTTCTGGGTACCGAGGAATAATCTAGATAATCGCCTTTTATCTCAATATTTCGAATGGGATGTTTCATTTGCTAAATTCTCTTCCACTCGGATTCAACTTTGACTTCCTGCTTTAGCTTTATGATATTTCATGATAATGAAATTATGATCATTCGTTTCTTTTCTGATGCTTATACTCTGGCAGTATTCTTAAAATGAGTTTAAATATTAAGTCAAATTTAATTTCTTTTAATATAAAATTATACTAAAAGCAAAACACCGCTCTCTCTGTAACAAACCCTTGTGATTAACTTTGCAATCAAAAACAAGTCTGAAACGAATTTTTATAAATATTGACGAAAATTTTGAAATAATTATTATTTTTAAATCTATCATACAAAGAAATGTATTGGGTACTTAGGTTATGGAAAGCACAGATCCAAGATTAGTCAAATCAAAACTCTCGAGTTACATTGCTATCATATCTTTTCCATTCAATAATCCTAAATATTGGTTTAAAAGGAAGAACATAATTAAAATATGGCCAACATCAGCTGCATAAATGGTCCATAGCTGAAAACTACTACCAAAATTTGAAATATACGAAAAATATTGTATTTCATAGCAAATTTCATTCATATTGTATTTCATTCAAATATTGTGTTTCTCGCAAAAAAGCTACAAAGGAATTTTTTTTGGCAAGATTTATTCTTCCAAGCTTATCTTTTCAATCCAAGTCTATATGTATGATAATTAATAAAGCGGTTCTCTCATAACTTTAGATAAATTGAATTCAGATTTCTAGAATAAAATTATTAAACATTTTTAAATCAAATAGAAATCCTTTCTCTCTCAGAAAATGAAAAGATACTATATACTAGAAATATAATGTAAAATATGAGATTCATCTCACACAAAATATTTCGTTGTGTTGCCATTCTGACGACATAAAATGGAAGATATATTTCTTTGTGATAGAGACACTTTCGCGAATGCTATTGAGTGCATATATATTCTTACAGGTATTCTCAGCCCATGAATTTAAATTTTCATCCTTCAGATGAAAATTTAAATTCATTCAACTTTCATCTCCTTGCGAAGATTATCCGTGTGACTTGGGACTGAGCTTGTATAGCTGTGTACTATATTTGTAGATACGACGGCCAAACTGCCCGCTGTATCTACAAATGACGACACTGTTCGAAAAGCTCATTTCTGATCACGGCTTTAAGGGGTGAGCTTGGAAATGGCACATCTAATGTGTCTCTATTTAATGGTGCTTTTCGCAAACGTATCAGCATTTCCAA